CTTGTATCAATGTTCTGGTTTCTATCCACACCTTCTCCCATGGGTTAGACCGCCCCTCAATTGTCCTGCTGCATCTCTCCTTCCATATGACCCATAGGGTCACTTTCCTGACGAGTTCAAACCAGATCCTTTCTGCCTTTTGCGCCTGATCAGGGATGTTAGTCAAGAGGAGAAGTTGAATGGGTTGCTCGGGGAAGGGAGATGTGAAGAGGGAGTCCCTGAGTGATGAAGCCCTCGCCCAATATTCAGTAGCCTCTTTACAAAGCACTAGGCAGTGAACTATATCTTCTACAGCGCCTTCGGTGCAGACTGTACATAATTCCGAGCTGTTGGGGTCTGCGGCTTTCCGCCTAGTGTGTAGCCATTGGTTCACCGGTAGGGCTGCGTACACAATCAGCCACTGCAAACTTCTAATCTTGATTGGTCTGATGCGTTTGAATTTTTCCCAGTGGATTCGTGTCATTTTGTTTGCTTCCTGCCTGACGAGGTTCCGCCATCTGTTTTTGATAATAGGGTCTGGATTTTTGGTCTCTAGAGACAGTCTGTACCCAAGTTTGACTGTGTAATCCTGGATTGGAATTTTGGTCTTAATGTTGCTGGCCCTATTTGGCGTCCACGCCCATTCCGCTGGATCGAACTCCAAGCTACGGATTGCAGTGTCAGGTCTGAAGACCGACTTTGGCCATGCCCCTAGGACCCTTACTTTCCGGAGCAGGAAGGATTCTAAGAGTGACGACTCTACATCGCAGTTCAAGATAGTTGGCGTAGCAGTATTGGTGAGGGAAATCGGGAAAGAGAGGAAAGTGGCCCTAGTGTGTGAGCCTTGCAGCAAATGGGAGAATTGAAAGGCTCTAGAGGGGGTTACGTCTTGAATCATAAGTCCCCACTCACCCGGTCTCCACGATTCGTCTTTTACCAGGATATCTTTCCATTCCTGTGGGATACAACTAAGTATATACTGGAGATTGGTCCCTCGTCTGTGGCATCCTTTCAGTCAGGAGCTGACTTCTTGTTCCGTTATCCAGCCCTTTCTATCCTCCTTCCATAAGTGGTCAACTTTCCAGATACCGTTCTTGATCCAGGTTGTCCGCCTCGTTTGTTATCCATTCATTCCCGAAGAGCGGTTGCCTTAGTACTTCATCCTTGGATTTGGGTCTGTTTATCTTATTGGGAAATATTTTCCTCCAGGATTGGAGTGTTGCCGACCAGTAAGGCGTGGGCGGTCGACAGTCATCGAGTCTGTTATTCCTCGTTCGATTCCTACGTCCTGTGGTTATCACCCATTCTTTATTCATTACCCAAAACAGACCTGACATATTGTTCGGGGAGGGAACTGGGGCCACGGATCTGATACTATCCAGCGCCAGATTAATCCAGGCGCTGTCCGGCTTCATCAGCAGTTTGATGATCCATTTGACTTGTAAGGTTTTCGTTTCTGTTCCGGGGTCGATAATTCCTAGGCCTCCGTTTCATGGCCTTCTTGTAACATAGTGCCAGGCGATCTTAGATATGCCCTTGTCCTTGTTGGGGTCTCCTGTCCATAGATAAAGCCTAGCTCTTCGGTTCAACTCCTTAACCTAGTTGTCCGGGACTGTCCAAATGGAGGCTATGTACCACATCATTGAAAAGACCGATGTATTGAGGACTAGCGCTCGACCAATAAGGGGCGTGAAGGCATTGCCCCACCTTCCGATTTTATTGATCTGTTTGGCCAGCATGGATGGGCCCATTTGGGGAGCCAATCCTTCCTTCGTCATTAGTATGCCAGATAGCGGGTGGGTGTGTCCGGCGTTTGCCATGTCATAGCCGCCTTGTCGCCTTGGAGTGAAAGGGGATCTTCCTGAGATAGCCACCAGCCAATTGTTTTTCCCCAGTTGATCTTCATTTCTGAGGTTAGTCTGAACGCTTCCATTGCTTTAGCTAGTGTCCTGAATGAGGAATCAGACGCTCTGATTAGGACCGTTAGATCGTCCGCGAACATGATAGTTGCGGGAAAATTCATCTGGTGGGCTGATCCTACGTCGGTGCTGGCTAGTCTTTGAATTGATGGATCCTTACGGAGGAAGGATGTGATTGCCTCCATTACGAATAGAAAGATTGATGGGGCCAACGGGTCCCCTTGACGGACTGAGCGGGAGATCGGGTAGCAATCTGACAGTAGTCCATTGACTTGGACACAACCTACTGCATCTTTGTACAGTATCCGGACCCACTTTCTGAAGTTAGGTCCAACTCTCATTCTTTCCATACTTGCTTCCATGAAGTCTCAGTTTACTTGATCGTATGCCTTTTCAAAATCAAAGAAGAGAATGGCGGTGTTTATTTTTATTTCCCTGATTTTTCTTACCGACTCGTTCAATATCATAACATTGTCTAGAATGCAGCGACCCGGGATGAAACCTGTTTGGTTGATGTGGAAGCATTTGTTGGTAATCCTGATAATCCGGTTGGACAGGGTCTTAGCCAGGATTTTGTATGAAAGAGTTAGCAGCGATATGGGTCTGTAATTCCTGATGTCGTCTTTCTCACCCTTTTTGTAAAGTACCGTGACCACGCTGCTGCTGAGAAGATTGCCCAGCCCTCCCTTGGACCAGCTGTCATTATAGAAGTTTAGCAGGTCACCTCCTAGCAAGGCCCATAATTTCTCCCAAAACTCTTTTGTTAATCCATCGATTCTAGGGGACTTGGTGTTATACATGCTTTGTAAAGCCCGATGTAGTTCTTCCTGTGTGATTGGTTTGTCGAGTGCTTCAGCCTGTTCAAATGATATTGTTTGCTCTAGGTAGTGTAGCATTTTCTGCCTTGCCTCTCTAATGTTGGGGGGTATCGGAATCTCGGTCTTGGAGTGGTAGAGGTCCTTGTAGAAATTGTTAGCTATCTCTAGCATACCTTCGCTATCTGATCTCATAGTTCCGGAGCTGTGCGGGACCTCAGACCTTCTATCGTGCTAGCTCTCGAGTTTGCCTTGATTCAGGCAAAGAAGTGTTTTGTCATAGAATCGCTGAGTTCGTATTCGCACATTCTTGCCCTTATTTGAAGGCCTCTCAGGTCCCACCATTTCCACATGGCCAGTTCCTCTCGTGCCTTGTCGAACAGGTCATTATACAGACGTGAGGCGGGGTTATTTACCAGGTTGGTTTTTGCCAATTTCAACGCAAATTCTAGTGATTGCTTCCTATGTTTCCTTATAGACGCTAGCTTCCAGGATTTTGTATGGAAGAGTTAGCAGCGATATGGGTCTGTAATTCCTGATGTCGTCTTTCTCACCCTTTTTGTTAAGTACCGTGACCACGCTGCTGCTGAGAAGATTGCCCAGCCCTCCCTTGGACCAGCTGTCATTATAGAAGTTCAGCAGGGCACCTCCTAGCAAGGGCCATAATTTCTCCCAAAACTCTTTTGTTAATCCATTGATTCCAGGGGACTTGTTGTTATACATGCTTTGTAAAGCCCGATGTAGTTCTTCCAGTGTGATTGGTTTGTCGAGTGCTTAAGCCTGTTCATCTAATATTGTTCGCTCTAGGTAGTGTAGCATTTTTTGCCTTGCCTCTCTAATGTTGGGGGGCATCGGAATCTCGGTCTTGGAGTGGTAGAGGTCCTTGTAGAAATTGTTAGCTATCTCTAGCATACCTTCGCGATATGATCTCACAGTTTCCGGAGCTGTGTGGGACCTCAGAGCTTCTATCGTGCTAGCTCTCGAGTTTGCCTTGATTCGGGCAAAGAAGTGTTTTGTCATAGAATCGCTGAGTTCGTATTCGCACATTCTCGCTCTTATTTGAAGGCCTCTCAGGTCCCACCATTTCCACATGGCCAGTTCCTCTCGTGCCTTGTCGAACAGGTCATTATACAGAGGTGAGGCGGGGTTATTTGCCAGGTTGGTTTCTGCCAATTTCAATGCAAATTCTAGTGATTGCTTCCTCTGTTTCCTTATAGACGCTAGCTTCCTAGAGACTTTAGCCACGGTGCTTGAGAGGTTGGAATAACTCTGTTGAAACCATTCCCATCGATGATCAATGCTTAGGCGCGCAGACCTCTGTCCCTCCCAACAGTTATACACCTCACTTTGGAATGTCTGGCTCAGCAGGAGAGAATTATTGAGCTTGTGGAAGCTGGCTCCCTTTTTAACCACTTGATCAAAGCAAATAACTAGTTCGATTCGTTTGTGATCCAGTCCCGAACATGGAGCCAAAGGTAGCACTTCAACATTTTTGACTGCCCTCATCATGTTTCTGATACTAGAAAGTAGTCTATTTGTGAGAAGGCCGTATGGTTAGCGTGCTTTTTCTTGACTAAGGTGAAGGTTCTCTTGTCTGGGTGAAAGATTCTATGAGGGTCCACCAGGTTGTGATCCAGCATCAATTCCTGGATTGGTATTGCTTCAGAAGAGTTTGGGGTGCTGGAAGACCGAGATATACGGTCTACTGAAGGGTCTATCGTAGCATTTCAGTCTCCTGCCAGGATACAAGGGGTCAGTGGCGGGATCAGGTCTTCGATATTTCTTAAAAAGGTCTTCCTCTCTGTTGGCGAATTCGGTGCATANGTCTCCTGCCAGGATACAAGGGGTCAGTGGCGGGATCAGGTCTTCGATATTTCTTAAAAAGGTCTTCCTCTCTGTTGGCGAATTCGGTGCATAAATGTTGAAGAGTAAGAATTCCTCTTCCTTCCATTTCAGGTGTAACACACACCACCTCCCTTCCGTTTGATCGGCTCTCTTATCTAGAACTGAGCCTGCTTTATATAGACGGTAGGATTTGGGAATCAGGATGGTTGTTCCCTTAGAGCTTGTTTCAGGGTCAGCAGACCAAATTTCATCCTTTAGGTTGCCTAACTTCCTTGCCATGAAAGTGCGAATTCTGTTGTGTTCTGTAGAAAAGGTGAGGTGGGTTTCTTGAAGCAGCATTATGTCCACTATTTTCCTATTTCCCATGTGCTCAATGGTCACCAAGTCGTTCCATTTTTCTTCTCTTTCCATTATGTTCCCTAGACCATTGAAATTCCAGCTTCTAAGGACCAAACCTTGATTTTTCCAGTCGACGCGGTCCCCAACCTCGTTCGCTCTTCTTCTGTAGCTCTCCATGGAAGCAGCTGAGATAAGTTAGGGAGATAACCGGTCAAGGTCACCTAGGTAGGGGGGGTTCAGTTGATAGAAAGTGTGTCTAGGTAGGGGGGTCTTCCTTGTCCGTATCCCTACCCAAAGCCTCCTGGACGGTCTCCGGTCCACTGCCCGTAAGTGGGGAGAGCGCGAGGTCCCCCACGACGTCCACCCCGTCCAACTCTACCTGTTCGCTGCTATCCTTTTCTAACTCCTGATACTGGCCCAACCCATCCTGCTCATCATCACCTTCCCACGAGCCGGCATCCGAGCCGGCATCCGAAGCGTCACTCCTGTAGAATATTTCGCAGTTGATGGCGTGGGCTTTGGATTCCAGGTCTTCGTCCCCTTCCAGTTGCCCTGTGCTGACAATATGGGCCACAACTGTAGCCAACAATTCTGTTGAGATGCCAGTGTCTGCTAGGATGCTGTAGGGCACCTCGGTCACTGTCCTCCAAGGTTTCCAGATCATCCCTGGTCTCAGCTGTGTTGATTCGGGCATCTTGGCTATTAATGGTGAAAAGGCCCTTGGGGAGTTTCTGCTCGCCTCGTTTGAGCTCTTGAGAGGGTTATCTGATTCCTTTTGTGTGTCAAGGACGGTTTGCTCCTCTTCAATGGTAACGGTCTCAAACAGACCCAACGGAGTCTCCGTTGTAACCTTCCCTTTCAACAGTTTGATCACGTTCTCGCCCTCTACGAAGTGAGGGATCTTGAAGGCTACATCTGTTGTGATTTGCCATTCCTTCGCCTTCCTTACGTACCTGGCTGTGATAAGGGGTTGGATGTTCCTTAGCGTCCTACGAGCCGATCTGGCCGCCTCAATCACCCTTGGGACCTCCCCTCGTGCAATCTGAGCAATGGATGTGAATTCGGAGGCATATTCCTTGTTCCATTTTCTCAGCTTCTCCATTTGAGACAGCACAACAGCCTCTTCTTTTTCCAGAAGGACGCGTTCCGACTTTTCTTGGGCCTCAACTTGTTCATTGTTAGTCTCTTTCCGTCTCTGGTTCTTCCCTGTTTTCCTTGCCTTAGGTCGCAGATCCTGGAAATTATCGTTGGTTGTAGGGATGGTTTTGTCTTTGTCCACTGTTCCTTGGTCCCTCGCCCTTTTCTTTTCTGCATACCTGAAAGCAGCAAATTCGGAGAATTCCTCAGCTCTTTCCTTCTTGAGCATTTCGTACTGGCTGGAAGAGTTGTTGATCCCCGCAAATGCATTTTTCTTACCATTCACCTGGGATCTCTCTGCATGTTTCAGGCAGGCGACCCGAACGTCGAAAGCATGCTCCCGTTCCCTCTTCGCCTTTTCCACAGAGTCTCTGAGCCAGGTCAGAGACTGCGTGGACCGATCCTCTTCTTCTGCGGAACCAGCGTCAGGTGTGTTGTTCCTCCCTCCTGCTTCATCATCCCCCTCGCCTCCCGTCATGTCCATCTCCATCCCTTCTCCTTCCACCCCTGTTTCAGACGTTTCTGTTCCCTTTCCTTCAGTTGACTCCCCCGCCTTCCTTCGTTTTGGGCCAATCCCCTTCTCTAACGATCGATCATCCTCATGTAGTTGGCGCTTGTTGTCAACCTGAACTTTGTCCCTTCTCTTGTATGTTTGCAGATCCACTTGTTCCGCTTGTTTCAGCGCTTCCCTAAACGCGAATGGTTCCTTGTTAATTTCGTGTTCGATTTGTTCCCTGATGGTATCAAGGTCCCACAATAGGTCTTCCCTCGCTTTCTCCTCCCTGATAACCCGTGAGTCTGTGATGGGATTGGTGTTGATCTTTGTCGGGTTGCCTCTCACTTTTCCGGTCGCCTTCTTTTGCCACCTACTATCTGCTGGGGGGAAGACGTCTGGCTTTTTGACAGACGGGTTTTGGTCACCAAAATGCCACACCCAGTCTGGCTCGTCCAGGTTGTCATCAAAGACCCATCCATCATATGATGGATGTGCCACGAACCAGATTCCAGGTGCGTCTTCCACTTCTACCAACATGTTTGGTAGGAGTTTCCGCTCCTTTGCTTGTTTCAGAAACTTGGGGCACGTGGGATCGGTCCCCAGATGGCCCCTTTCCCTGCAGCGAAGACAGATTGGAGAGGTTCTGGTTGAGATTCTTACTTCAATCAGCCTGTTCTCGATTTGGAACTTCCAAACCGGCGGAAATACAGGGGGATCATATGTCTGAACATCAAGAATCGCTGTCATAGATCCGCAGTGGGGTGCTAGGAATTCTGGTGTCGGTAGGATCCATTTCATAATTTTGTTCGCTGTGTATTGTCTTTCCAGGCTGTCGACCAACATGTCGTGAAAGCCCGGTTGAATGTTGTCGAATTGTACCCAGAAGTTTTCTTTCATCAGGGTTTGTTTGTAGGAGACTGCAAACACCGGGTTCTGCCTTTGGATTGCACGTTTCTTCCATCTAGTGATCGTGCAGACTGAACCGTGGCAGTTCCTGGATTGCATTTCCGCTGCGATCCTTGCATGGTCCTCGTGGATGAAGAATACCATGATGCTGTTGCGGCCCAGGCTCTGCAGCGAAAACGTGTCCCCAATCTGTTTCAATTTTGGTTCCTTTCTGATCGTTTCAATTACCCATTTCCATTTTTCTACTGGCTGGAGGTCTGCCCCATGGCGTGCGAAATTGAACACTACTCCGTGTTTTTCATGTAAGTCGTCCAGCTCAGCAACCTTTTCTTTTGGATACTTCCATATGATCACTTCCTCTTCCCTGCCATCCGATCTGCTTTCCAGTCGACTCGACTCCCTGCACCTTCGTCTTCTCTATTAAAAACTTGAGAGCTTCGTTATCAATAATGTTGATTGTCTTTTCTGTTTCTGGTTGTTCTGTCGGGCCCGTGCCATGTGTTGGGTTAGCCATCTTGGATCACGGGAGATCGTGGCCGTGTCCCTATCTGTGGCCTATCTGAGAGCTGGGGTAGCGTGGTGGAAGGACGTTTGGACGTGAAGAAGTGGGGAGTGTGGTGGGCGGGTGTTAGCTGGGAGGAGGAGAAGGGGGGGAGGGGGGGGGGGGGGGGAGGGGATGGGACCGAATCAAGCTGAGGGAAGGATGGGGAGGAGTTGGGGTCGGGGGACGGATGGAAGGGAATGATGATGGGGACGGGGATGGTTTGAGGGCGATTCACGCCGGGAGAAAAGGAGATAGGATCGGGGGTGGGGTTGAGGGCGATTCAAATTGGGGGGGAGGAGGAAGAAGGCTGCAGTTGGGAGAGGGTAGAGGGTGGGGGTGGGACCGGGATGCTGGTGGACTCTTGAGCCAGATGGAGAGGGGAGGGGGGGGAGGAATCTGGTCGGAATCAGGGGGGCTCTGGGGTCGGGAACGGGGAGGGGGCTGGGCTCGGAGTCTGGAATGGGGCGAGGATCGGGGTCGGGGTTAGGACTGAGACTGAATTCTAAGGTACAGAGCATGTTTGATACTGGTGAGGGAAGGAGCGAGGCAGACTTTACTCGGGGTCGGGACGGAATCACCGATCGGGGTCAGGGGGTCGGGATAGGTACGGGGTGGGGTTTGGATCGGGGTCGGGTTGGACTCGAGATCAGGTCTAGGTGGGAGCGAAGCAAGATCGGGATGAGAACGAGTTCCGTATTGGGGAGGAGCTGGGGCCAAGGGGGGGGGTCAAGTCGGGATCGGGGTAGAACCCGGATGGGGCCGCTTGGGGTCGGGATCTAAGTAGGGTCGGGTTGGGGGCGAGGTTGGAGCAAGATAGGATCAGGGAGGGGTCGCTTGAGATCAGGCTCTAAGTGAGATCGGGGACTACGTTGGATCGCTTGAGATCGGGATCTAAGTGAGAACGGGTTGGGGGCGGGGTTGGAACGAGATAGGATCGTGGTGGGATCAGGCTGGGATCGGGGTAGGATCGGGTTAGAATCGGGGTGAAATCGGGTTAGAATCGAGATCAGATCGAGGTGGGAGCGAAGCAAGAACGGAAATATAACGAATTTAGTATTGGGGTGGGGTTGGGACCAGGGAGGAGGTCAAATCGGGATTGGGATAGAACCCTGGTGGGATCGCTTGAGATCGGGCAAATGAGGGTAGGGAAGAGCGAGAAAGAATCGGGGGGGAAGGGGGAAGTAGGCGGGGGTTGTCGGGAAGACGAGCGAGAGGGTGAAGATAGAGGGTTGAAAGGATAGAGGGATGGATGGATGGATCGTAGAGGAGAACACGGATGGTGAATAGTATCGGGGAAGCGATGATCGTGGGGAGAGAACAAACTGGCTTGAAGATCGGAAGGTCCAGGGAGTGCGGGAGCATTATTATTCTTTTAATGGACGAGAAAAATGTTTTTTGAGCTTCCCAGGGTAAACAGGCAGGTGCCTACCCAAGCGAGTGGGCTGGGTGCCCAGCCAGGAGTCTGAGGTAACCCAGATATATACCAGTTAAAAAAAAAAGAGAAAAAAGTTCACCAGTTCGTTGCATGCCAAGTTCACGGAGGCCTACCTGCCCCTTCTGTTTGATGATTTTGGGCCGCCAAACAAAAATGTTGCAGGCAGCAGATGAAATCAGGGGTGGGGGGAAGAATCAGAGTGACTGCAATGACTTGTTGATTTCTGCTGCCGAGATTGTCTGCGAGGCTGTACACTAACCTGTAGGGTTAGTTTTGCAATTTTGTTTGGCTGAAGGCTAACCGAGAGATCCGCCTGTGTGGAAATTCGTGAGGGACAGATCTGTAATTTTTGGAAAAATACAGACCTGGTACTAACCGAGTTCCTACAGCTACCCTAACTTCCTATAGCAGGCCCGAGCTACCCCTAGGACAGACAGGCCCTACGCGGCCTATACTGCTATACGGTCCTATAGCCTATAGCCGGGTCCGGTAGAGGCCGAGAGGCCGAAACAGCAGCGGTACAGGTAGGTCCAGTCTGTCCAGTCTAGGTCTAGGCTAGGGTAGGAAGTCTATAAGTCGAGTAGGGAGATCGGGTAGGGACTTTTGGCTTTTCATTTTTCGTGTGCAGCGTTCGTGGCCAACGAAGTTTAGCAGCGCTGAATGTCCACAGGGGCACCTGCGACATCAGCTGTGTGAGGCAGCCATAGCCAGCCTACCTGAGACAGCCATAGCTGGGG